AGACAGTCCAGCCAAATGAAGCTGCTGTGTAACGTTAGCTTGTGAGAGAGTGGGACGGACCTGAATGTCATACACAGTGAAAGGCAGGAGGCCTCCCAGCTCCAGTGATCCGGATGTGTTGTCGGTGGAGCCGTAAAGCTGGTCATCCAGATAGATGGAGTACCGCGTCACAGCTCCGTTAGGAACCAGAGGGGCTGCCCACAACACCCGTACTGATGTGCTGTTGAGGGTCACTATCTCCGGGGGGAAGATCCCTTCAGGCTCTAGGGTAAAGAGACATAACATATCATCTACTAATTATGTCTTAGAATAAACAGCAATACTGGAATTGGTCTATCATGTGTCATAATCATAAATATTTAACTGTTCAATTCATGTTTTCTCCTTCCAATAATGATCCATAATTCTCAAGTATCTGCTGATACTGAGTGTTCTTCAGTGGTCAGGACCCCCATGGTCCCTCACAGAGCAGGTACTATTTGGGTGGTGGATCATTCTCAGCACTGCAGTAGCTCATCTGCTGCTGCACAGTTTGTGTTGGTCATCCTCTAGTCCTTCATCAGTGCTCACAGGACGCTGCCCACAGGACGCTGTTGGCTGGATATTTTTGATTGGTGGACTATTCTCAGTCCAGCAGTGACACTGAGGTGTTTAAAAACTCCAGCTGCACTGCTGTGTCTGATCCACTCAGACCAGCACAACACACACTAACACACCACCACCACGTCAGTGTTACTACAGTGCTGAGAATGATCCACCACCCAAATAGTACCTGCTCTGTGAGGGTCCATGGGGGTCCTGACCACTGAAGAACAGGGTAAAAGGGGGCTAACAAAGTATCAGAGAAACAGATGGACTACAGTCTGTAACTGTAGAACTACAAAGTGCACCTATATAGTAAGTGGAGCTGATAAAATGGACAATGAGCGTAGAAACAAGGAGGTGGTCAGAATGTTATGGCTGATCGGGGGATTCTAGAATGCTTATTTTCTCCTAGCTTAGTAATGCTACTTTTTTGGATTTTAACAATGTACGTTACACGTAGGTACAGAAGGTAAAATAGTACCCAAAGACATTTTTTTCACTATTTTACCCTTTTCAACATCACATATAAGACTCAGAAACACATGTAGGTTCAAAGAATGTAAATATAAAACACACAAGTCACGATCTTTCTCTCCAATTTCGCATCAAACAGCTGTGAATTTGAATTATGTAGACATTTTGAAAAATGGCTGGAATTCCCCTTTAAACTCGCATTAAAATGTTCCCACCGTCACATCATATTAACCTTACACAAGCCCCTTTTCGCACAGTTTAGCTTTCGCTTTGGTTCCTTAACCTCTCTCTGGCTTTCTCGCCCACATCTTAACATAAGCAGACGGCATGCCTCAGAAACACTGCTCCTCCCTGATCGAGGTTATGGGCTCTGTATTGTGCAGCACAGCAGTCCTGCGGCTCCGGCTCTGCGCCGGCTGGATGTTCAGTGGAGGCACATGAGCAGGCAGTACGAGGCCAAACCCAGCAGCGAAACAGCAAGGGTGAGAGCAGCAATCTCCCCCAGGCTCACTTCGGAGCCTCGCTGCTGAATCTTCATGTTTCTGCCCTTTTCTTTCCAGCCCAACATTATGTCAGTGCAACAGAGCTGCTGTCTGTCACAGCGAGCGATGGAGGAAAACCATTCAGCTGTGTGCTTGTGGAAGAAAAGCGAGGGAAAGAGGCAGCCGTGTTTTTCCTTCTGCGTCTGATAAAAACGTATAACGTGTGTAAACTGCGGCTGCAATGAATAAAATTTGATAAGTAAAACAATGAAAAACAGAAAAATCATACAAATAAATGTAAAAGCTCATATCTGAGGCAGCGGCCTCAGCAACAGCCTTGTAAGTGAATTTCTATAACAACACTTACGGTCCTGTGCAAATGTCAGAGACCACCATTCACGTTTTAATTTCCAGTCAAAATGGCCAATAAGTATGTTACACACATACTGTGGGGGGTTGGGAGGGGGGGGGGCAAAAACATATTTAACAGAAAATTACACAGACGTCTCAAAAGACAACCAAAGATAATTAAATCAAAGATAATAAAGGATTTTCAGTATTTAGTACAGACGTCCAAAGAGGCCATGAGGTAGTTATAATTATCTGTATTGTTATCTTGAGATAACGAGTTAATTATCTTGTGATCTCAGGACAACAAAGTTGTTATCTTGAGATAAGTTATTTATCGTGTTATGTCAAGATAACAATCCAGAAAATCACAGCGACAGCTCCTGGACTTCTGTGATTTAGACTTTACAGCCAGCTTTCGGTTTTTCAAAGAAATCTGCGAGGATTTTTTCCACACCTCCAAAGTTCAGTCTTAGAAGCTGGTTAATGATTTTCTGAAGTAATCAAACACATTCAGTGGTGTTGAGGTCTGGACTCTGGGGTGGTCAGTCCATTGTTCAGCTTCTTTGTTTGATGTGTCCGTCTCCTTTTCTCAGTGAGGTTCTTCTTGATCAGCTACACATCCTTTCAGACCCACAGCGCTGAGTCGTCTTCTCACAGTGGAAGGATGGACAGAAACACCTGTGGATGTTTTCAGATCTGAAGCAGCTTGATTTTCTCCTCTCTCTCAGAGATGAAAGCTTTAAGTGCTGTTTATCTGATGGGGCAGTTTTGAGGTTGACCAGGTTCTGCACAGTTGTTAGAAGTCTCTAATTAGTTTCAGAATTTCCTGTTTTTTTTTTACTTATTTTCCTTTGACTTTCCCCTTATTATGCAAATGTATTATTTTATATTTATAAAAGTACAGTAGGTTTTTCCTTCTCTTGTATTATTTTGGAGTTTTTATTCCGACAACAGTGGTTTATATTATTTATCTGCATTGCTGTGCCGTCCGTTGATCATTGTGTTAGTGAGGTTTGCAGCTGTTTATAGTGCTGTGGAAGAAAACTAGCAGAAGCAAAGAATGCTGGCTGCATCTCTCTCTCTGTGTACTGTGTGTGTGTGTGTGTGTGTGTGTGTGTGTGTGTGTGTGTGTGTTTGGGGGGTGGGATGGGGAGGGGGTCCCTGCAGACAGTTTGTGGGCAAATTGAATCAGTCCTGATGGAGCGCAGTGGGATTGGAGCGCAGCACCAGGGGGCAGAGGGGGTTAACTGGGCCAGTCTGGGGGATTCTCTCTGCTGCCTACACTGGAGATTCACACCATCCTACAAACCACCTCCATGCGCCCCCCCCCCCTCTCTCTCTCTCTCTCACTTTTTCTCAAGTACACCCCCCCAATTCACACTAACTCCTGTTTCTCTCTCTGCCAAACTGGGTTGCTTTGCTCTTGGCTAACCCTTTAATGCTGAGGCAAAATAGAGCTATTTCTGCCTTTTAATTCGTCTCCATTAATAATATGATTTCTTGCAGCACATTAAACAAAAAAGGCAGAATAATAATTCTTTTATACAGTGATAGAAAACATGGCCGCACACAAAAAGCTTCTACATGCTGATCTGTTTTACTATGTCCAGTGTGAATACGCAAGCGCCAAATTACTTGGCAGATTTTAATGAATTAAAGGGGACCACCACTCAAAAACAATGTCACAGATTGGCAACCGGTGGAACAAAGAACAAGGAGCTTGAAAAGATCTTTAAATGAAACAATTTGTCTCAACAAAGAAGATGAGAACTGTCCAGACTATGTATGGTGTTTATGGTTCTTTATGGATGTGAAAGCTGGACAATAAACAAAGTAAGACAGGACAAACACTGATGCCTTTGAACTCTGGTGTTGGTGAAGACCTCTGAGAGAACCTTGGACAGCAAAGAAAACTAATGGGTCTTCGACCAAATCAAGCCTCACGTCTCACTCAAAGCCCAGATAACTGAACTTATTTTGGACATATTCTGAGAAGAGACAATTAATTTGAAAAGACCGTTATGCTTGGAACACAAGGTGAAAGCGAAAGACGACAACCAGCTACAAGTTGGATGGATGCTACCAGAATCCTGAACAAGCCATTCAAAATCCTACAGACCCAAGCAGAGGATGTTCTAAAGCAACACTTTCCATACGGTCACCAAGAGGAATTGATTTGACGACACTTCAAAATAATAATAAAGGGGACAAAGCCAGTGACTCTATTTGTACAGTAAAAACGGTTCTTTAAGGGTTCCGTATGCTGCGTCTACATATTGGCAGTAGACAGACAACAGCAAACCAGATGTTCCACTGTTTTCAATGAGCCACAACAGGAAATTTGTCATCAGTTTCACAGACCGTAGCTGTACGACAACATTCTGTCAAGAGTTTCATTTTCCCAACTTTTGCCATCGACCCTGGTGGTAAAATACACCAAATATTGATTTTTTTTGGGGTCATGGATGCCGAACGCTTCATTGTTGTCCATGAACTCAGTTTTACACAACTAAAAATAAAAGAGCACGGAGCACCTCCTGACTTTACCCAAATTAAATAAATGATAAAACCACTCAAGCCCTTTGCTGCTAATGCTGTCACCGTGCCAATGTTTGCGTGGCTTCATCTCAACATTGGTCGCATATCACAGAACAACGTTATTATTCAATGTCAACCTCAAAGACCTGTTTGATTGCTCAAATGGTTCTTTGCCATGCAAAAATAATTATTTTATGTGTGTCATTCTGATTATGCTACAGTTGCCTCCACAAGGCTGGTCAATTATTATTATTATATCTTTAGTCTTATTATTACTATTGTGTATCAACTCCATGATTTAGAACCTGCCGCATGTCACCGCTGTCAGAAGAAAAGCTTGTATCTCCATTTGTGACGTTTTTCAGTTTTTGACGTAATTTGAAAACACCTGTTACCCTTTACATTGTGTGCAAATTTCATGATGAATGGACTAAAAGAAATGGCCAAACATTGCTTGGAAAAAAGTCTGGTTCCATTGACTTACATTAAAAGTAAAGTAGGTTTTTTCCTTCTCCTACAAAGTAATAATTTTGGAGATACGAGGTTTTGCTCTGACAACAGCGATGTAATGTTAAAAAAATAAGGTTTTGGCTATTTTTACATAGAAGTCACAGAACCTTTTTCGCTAATAGTGTAGGTTAGACAAGGCTGACTATAATTAACAACCTTCATCCTGAATCACTCTGGCACTGAGACTCATTCTCTCCATTATAAATGCTTCACCGCTAAGGGAACAAGGTTTTCTCAGGTGAGTGAACTTTGTAAAAGAACTCTGTAAAAGACACAAAGAAAAGACTAGTGATGGGAGAGAGATCAAATACCCAAGCAGCAGC